TTCACATACTCGCTAATATACATAACTAACTTGCCGATAGCCAATTTGTTCTTGTCATTCGGCGCACAGTTTCAATCTCATTGAAGCAGTTTCTTGTTGGTCCTTTAGTTGGTCCTGTTGAGCCTTTAATTGGTTTTGTTGGTTCTTCAGCTGGTTCACGGCTGAGGCTAACGATATCATGGCAGTACACAATTCGCAATTCAAGTTGTTGTCCTCAGATAATATAGAACGAATGGCACCTGCGACATCGATGGAAGACATGTAAAGTCATTTGATTAGTCCTAAAGTCATTTGATTAGTCCAGTGTTAGGCTTATATACGAACTTAGCTCGCCCAACGTTGATCATTATTGAACATACCATCTAGAGCAAAGTTTGGCGCGGAAATACGATCAGAGTTCCCTTGTAATACATGTAGATCATTCAAATATAAATTCCTTCACTGAAACATATATTAGAAATTAGGATTATAACAACGTAATGATGTTGGTCACCCTCTAACATCAAGGGTTAGAGAAGGCATATGGTCTTTTGGTGACGCACAACATCATTGAACTCACTCCTTCGATGGTAGCAATGGTCCTTTTGAAGATAGAACATATAGAGTGGTCCGTGTTCTATTAAAAGCTTGGCGTCACAAAACTTGAACCAATCTCCAACCTTTAAATTAAACTCATTTGGATTCTTATAAAACAATCGATTTAGTAATCTGGTACATGCAATAGTAGAAAATGTTAAGTAGAAAATTTTAATATTAGGTTGGTTCATAATTAGTGCACGTTTTTCCTACCTCTTCTTTCAAACGCTAGTTTTCAAACAAAAATCGTTCACTCTAAAACCATCTATACTATCGGAAAGCTCGTTTCTTCTGCTTTCAAACATACACTTTCGTTTTCGGAGGTCTTTGTTCAGACCGAAGTTCCGTGCCATTAAAGGTGAGGAACGAAAACTTGAAAATTTTTCCTTTCATTCGACTTGCCCTAATTCCATGAAAATGCTCAAATTTGTTTCAAAAAATTTGTATTATAAACGCGAAGATTTGTGCTACAAAATGCTCACCAAGGCCGAATCTCTTAGAAAACCTGAGCCGAGAAGCTTTGACTCAAACTTAGCTGAATGCTGGAATCACTCGGAGCTTTATAAAATGCTTACATGAGAAGCAATTACAGAACTTTCACTTGCTTTTGGTAGAGTAGACCAAGAACTAGTAATAATAGGAAATAATAGGAAAACGGCAGAATTTTCTCGTTTTTGAAATGAGAAAAAATTGAAGGAATCTAAAAAATACAGATTTTCGCCTTCTCTAAAATGCAGGAGAAAATAGTATTTTTGCTTTCTTGGCTATAATTTTTCCGCAGAAAATTTTTGGTAGAAGCCAAGTTCCACGCTACTACTGAATCGACCATCGGCTACACAGTGAGCAAAGTTTGCTCCCATCTAGTTCTTTTGAGAGTAAGTTATGCTCCTTCAAACTAGAGCTTTCCAGAAAAAACTCTTGGTAAATTTTGAGCAGTAAAATCTTTCCCGTGGTGAGTGCAATCACACAAAAGTATACCTTGTATAGCTAAGAGTTTGCTGTCTACAATAGTTTTTGTTGCGCTCAGAAAGATTGTTTTGGAAAAGAATTATCTTCATCGGAAGTGAAGTTTTCTTTTGAATCCTATTTTAAAGCGGAAACACAGGTTATCCGAACAGGTGAGCATACTATTGTACAGAGCTTGTCAAGAGCTACATACTGGTTATGGTTGCTTCCCCAAAAAACGCAAGCTTCAGTTTTATTTTGCTTTTTTCAAAAAATAACTTCTAATTTCTTTTATCAAGACAAATTCTTCACAGGGAAACCTGTTCAAAACATCCCAACAAAACCGTCTGGTAAAATAGATGCTTTTTGCCATCCTCTATGCATCGGACGTGTGCTGATGAGTTTCTTGGCTGAAAATTGCCCTTGGCAGTGCTTGCACATAACCCCACCTGCACCTCACCACTGACTTGTACCGCTTTGCAGGCTTGTAACTTGGCCTGCAGTCAATATTTGAGCCTGCAATTAGGCTCATTCGAAAGAACGCGACTTTTTCTATACGATGTTATGCAAATGAGTTAAGTTTGAGAAATTTCAGAGATTTGGCGGATGGGGTGGTAGAGGGCAGCTTCAGTTGTAATCTAAGCACTTTTCAGCTAAAGTAGAAGAGAGCTCTTTTCGCTAACAATTTCATCTTGGAAGTTCAAAACTGTCAATTTTCTTGTAATAGATCCATTTCGAAGCTCTAAGACTGTTCTGGTGTTCATAAAAGCCTTTACTCCAATCACCTCTAAGGCTGCCCTCTTCCACCCCATCCGCCAAATTTCAGAAATTTCTCAAACTCAACTCATTTGCATACTATCGTGTAGAGGAAGTCTCGTTCTTTCGAATGAGCCTAATTGCAGGCTCAAATATTGACTGCAGACCAAGTTACAAGCCTGCAAAGCGGTACAAGTCAGTGGTGAGGTGCAGGTGGGGTCATGTGCAAGCACTGCCAAGAGCCATTTTCAGCCAGGAAACTCATCAGCTCATGTCCGATGCACGGACACGGGTGAAGAACATTTACTTGATCCGAACAGCTTTGTTGAGATGCATTGAATAGGTTTCCATGTGAAGAAATTTGCTTTGAAAGAGAAAAATAGAAGTTATTTTTTGAAAAAGCAAAACAAAAATTAAACTTGCGTTCTTTTTGGAAGTAACTACTACCTGATTGTTGTCCTCGAGTGCTCTATGATATAGTATGCTTACCTGTATGGAAAACTTTTGTTTTGCTTTGAAAAAAAGAACTGAAAGAAAATTTTTGCGTCCGAAGAATTATTGTCTGCAACATTGTGACGCGGCCATTTTCGGACTTTTTTTAGAAAAAGGTTCTTAAAATTATTAGAATACATGTTTCTCAAAAAACTCAAAGTGTAGATTGTAAATCTTGAAGAGCTCTATCACCACATGCAATAAATAGATTTTTTCATCCTTGTTTACCCTCTGAAAAAGAGCGATGAAAAAGGGAGGGAGGCTTGTCCGCGACTTTTTGGCGGTCACTGTACATATGTACATACACACATACTACAGTGACCGCCAAAAAGTTGCGGACAAGTCGCCTTCATTCTTTCATCGCTTATTTTCAGATGGAAAACAAAGATGAAGAAAATGTTTGGATTGCATGAGGTGATAGAGCTCTTCAAGAGCTACAACCCACAGATTGCGCTTTCTGGAAAACATGTATTCTAAGAATTTCAAAAATCTTTCTATAAAAAAGGTCCAAAAATGGCCGCGTCACAATGTCGCGGACAATAATTCTGCGAACGCGAAAATTTTCTTTTAGGTTTTTTTTGCAGCAAAAACAAAAGTTCTCCGGACAGGTAATCATACTATATTGTAGAACTCATCGGGGACAATGATAGAGTAGTGGTTACCTCCAAAAAAATCCGAGCTTGAATTTTATTTTGCTTCCTTCCAGAAAATAACTTCTAATTCCCTGCTTCAAGCCAAATTTCTTCACAAGGAAACCTATTCAAGACAGCTATTCGGATAAAATGGATGCCCTTTGCCATCTTCTATGCATCGGACGTGTGCTGGTAAGTTTCTTTGCTGAAAATAGCTTTTGACAGTGCGTGCGCATGTCCCCACCTGCACCTCACCACTGACTTGCACCGCTTTGCAGGCTTGCAGCTCGGCCAGCAGTCTCTCTACGAGCCTGTACTTAGGCCTCATTCGAAAGGGCGTGACTTCCTGGACAATGGTATGCAAATGAGTTGGGTAGGAGAAACAGCGGAGAAATGGTGAAAAAACCCAGCTTTAGTGGTAGGCTAAGGATTTCCATTTCCATTTGTAGGATTTCCATTTCCATTTGTATGTGCTCTCATAGTCGAGAAATACCAAGTTTTACCTTAAAAAAACCCGAAAAAAGAGGCATTTTGGCATTTTGGGACCCTATTTGTTTCTCACTTTTGAACCTCGGAAAAAATCCACTAAATACATTATCGGGTATTACTATGTGTCTACCATATAAAGACCAAGTTGGAAAACCGTAGGAATTTTCCAGAAGGAGATCCGATTTTTAAGGTACTTAAAAATTTTTGATTTTTGGCTCCAAAATTTACCTAGGTTACGAAATAGGTGGAACTTTGGTAGTCTTTTTGTAGAGCTTGATGCGCTCTACCGAATGGTACCCTGAATCTGTCAAAAAAAAAACAAAAACAGCTCAAGTTATTCAAAAAAGGAGTTTACTTTTGGGATAACCTGATAAAACAAAGAATTTGTGAAAATAGCGCAGTTTTGGGCGCTATTTTTCACAAATTACCGTGGGCGTCATGACCTATCGATTTCATCGATATCGATTGCGTAGGCGTGCCACTCCACTTTCATTTTTGCACCTGCTCGGTCGTCTGCCATCTTCAGCAGATTTTCTTTTCACTTTTCGCATATGGTATCAAGTCTCTACACATTTATACACGATAGGTCTGAATGCTTCCTTGGATATATCTCTCTCTTTGCAAAGACTTTTTTATTAGGTTACCAAGAAGTTTGACTTTATACTCTTCCTTGTGCAGGTTTTTTATCTTTCTGGTTGCATTATTCGTTACTATCTTCTCGAGACACTTGCGTTAAGCTATGGTTTAGTTTGAATATGGTGCCCTTGCGGTAGTCGCAACAACTGCGCGGGAAAAGACGCCATACTTTGGTTACAACAGTTGCGCGTAAAGTTGGTAATGGCGCCTTCTCATGGCCCTCACTCCCAAATGCTGGCGACACAGCAAGATCACGGGTAGGGACTTTATTCGCCGAAAAGAGGCGGCACCCGCGGTCATTTGTAACAATACGCACCCTCAAAGATGCAAGGATGTGCGTCTTTGCAGGAAGTCTGCGCGGGACATGCGCATCCGTTTGGAATTATGCGCATCGAACTTCCAACATCTCCCGCAAACAAAATTTGATCGACTTGCCTTAATCCCTCACTATAATACTTACAGGTACAACTGGTTATGTTTGATTTCTTTCGAAAAACGAATTTTCAGGACTTTCTGCTGGATGCATTGAATCTAGGGCACTATGATCTGCAAGGATACAGGCTCGATGCTTTGAGAAATTCTTGCGATAGGTGCGTTGGCGTTCTCAATGAAAATTTCTCTGATGAGTAGCATTTCAGCTTTTGGTTATCGTTAGGCGAAAGTGATGAAGAGCGCGACAAAAATTTCAACATCCTTCTTGAGCAGAAGTCATACTGGAGTAGTCAAATTGGAATCTGCATTTCCGAAGCGCTGTAAGCATTCTACGGTTTTGACTATTTTCTCCACTAAATCTGAATTTTGCAGCGAAGACATAAGATACTATCGTCTTCATGAAGGAAAACTGATTCTTGCAAAGGTATAGACTTAGATTTTTAAACCATGAATTTATTTTTTCTCTTGAAAGTCCAACTAAGTGCAGAAGGTCGGAAGAGAAGATAAAGCGCGAACGTTGAAACAGGATTGGAGAAGAATGGCGTTGCACATGAGGGAAGTATAGCCAGTCCATCCGCGAGTTTCCTGCCCATCAACGATACTGCTACCATTCCCTCATTTTTCATACGGATATTACATCAGCCACCTCGTATATTTGTTCTTTCCTTTCTGTTCTTCTGGTTTTTTTCCTGTTGTGCCTCATGTATCAAGCTCATTATCAACGCTCAATCGTTGCTTCCATGAATTCTCACTGTTCTGATCTCTAGAGCATTTTTGGCAGGTTCTTTTCTATTGTCATCGCAATGTGTTTACGTGATTGCCATTGCCACAAATAACAGATAAATAAATAGTACTTCTTTTCTACTTTTATGAGTGTGACAATGTGTATGAGGTAGCATCGGAAAAAAGGAGCAGAAAACATTTTTACGATAGTGCACAGACAAGTAAAAAAGTCCTGCTAAAGCTCCCAATCGGAAGTTATCGAGAGCCTTGAGGGAACTTCCCGAAGACGATAGCGGTACTTCCGCAGGTGATCCTCCGGAGATTCCGCTAAAGCCTTCGAGAGGTTCCCCTGAATTGTCTGAGTGGTGGCAACTGGCTTAGTGGTAATTTGAATGAAGATACAATAAAGATTATGATAGTTACATTGCCTTGGTTTTTTTACGCTTCTAACTTCGATGAGCATCAGAATCATCAGAAGTTTTAGGTTCTAGGGGTCCAAAGCCATTTAGAAGCTCAGTTTTGCGAAAATTTGCTATAAAGTTGCGTGCGAAAGGGTTTGAATCCTTGACAATCTCCTTATCACGGACAGGTGCTTCTCTATAGTGCTCATAGATAAGGAAAAACCAGCTAGAGGGCCTCTCAACCCCAGAGGGAAATACCCCTCATGACTCCTTTTACAAAACGTTCCGCTGATAGAAACTACAGATTTGGAATCAGAGTTTCAAGCGCTTTTAGGCGAATACTAAGCGTCCTCTCCTTGTAAGACCAATTTCAACCAGAGTAATTTACAAAGCCGATTACGTCAATACTCTAAGTTATCAGTGAAAAAGTGCATGTGGTTATAAAACTTCTAGCTATTGCGGCTATAAAATTACTAAGGATATTTGCTTTAAGTAAAGTGAAAGTATGCACTTTTGCTTGTTAATCAACAAAAGATCTCATTTTCGTAGATTTAGACCAAAGCTGTGATCGAACTTTTTGAACCTGAAAAGGACTGCAGTTTTTCTTTTAAGATAGAAACAAGAACTCATCATCAAGTGGTAACCCACCTATATTGCACACCGAACACATCAGCATTATAAACACCATTTTCTTTTCAAAACCGAAGTAAATAAAGGTTGCAACGTAGCGCGCTTCATTCGCATTGCCGCGCTATGTTGAAAAACCATTGTCGATTTGTCAGTGTATCTTCTAAATGTATGGCGGCAACAGCTAAAATCTTCTTGACTGTCAAGGTGCACATCAAATACTAATCGTTACAAATACGAATTTGGCAAAAATCGAACGTTCGAAAGAGCTACTCAAGAACTTTAGCAATATGAAAACATAAGCTTCTTCCAGATATGTTGAAACTACGCTCTGTGTTATTGGGAATGACCGGTACCGGGTGGGGTCCGGGTTCTGCGCGGCCGCTTGCTTGAGCTCTGCACCTTCGTGCTCTCTGATCTTTTCCCCACGAGCGTGAGAAAGGCGGAGTTCCAATTGCTACGAGCTTGGAAAAAAAGATTAGAGAGAACGTCGCGAAACAGATGTAGAGTCCAGGCGAGAAGACCGCGCGGGACCCGAGTCCATCCCGGCATTCAACGCAGCAATGATACAGAGGACACACATTTTTGCATTTGAAAATCCTAGTTTCTAACAAGCGATTTGTTTTCAACTAACATTTATTAACAAATTAATAATCCAGGTTGTAATAAATAACATCTTACGTAAGTTCACTTCTCTTGAGTAAAAGAATTGAATAAACATGCTAAGAATCTTCTGCATGAAAATAGCTTTTTTCGACTGACAATCAGTACACACAAAAGTGCATGCGTGATTAGCAATACATAGATGGAAAACGTCTTTGGACGGCAGTGCAAAACTGTCTTAACGCACTCAGGAGTGAAAGCACAAGGTTATACCTAATAATAAATGCGCATTGGATAAAAAAATAAGAGCAGATATTTGAGTAAGGCAGCTTTTTCATTAGGTTGAAAAGCAAGTTTTGCAACCCATTTAATAACTTTCCTCTCTCTTTACGTGGCGCAATCAAATTTTGTTTGGACGTAGAATATGACTCAAACTACAAGCGCAGGTGCTCTTCTGCCAAATTCTGATGTTGCAGTGAGGGTTACGATGGGTTTATAGTGTAAAGGGAAGAATTATAAAATTTGATAGATTTCGTTGAAACTTGGAGTAGAGGAGGGGGTATGCCGATCACGAAAATAACACTGAAGTGTGGATAAGGAGTTTTCAGTAAGATAACTGTAGATTTATATTTATAGCGGTTCTCACCCCAAACAAGGAAAGTCTAACAAAAGTAGGAAAGTTACCCTAAAATCCGCACATAAGTCCGCCTATCAGATAAGTCCACCTATCAGATAAGTCCGCAGCAGACCTAGCAGATAAGTCCGCTTTCTTGGCAACGAAAGTCGCCCTCGCGCCGCCAGGAGTCCTGCAGATAAGTCCGCTTTCTCATGCTCAGGATAGGCGAACTTATCTGCTGCGGACTTATCCGATGGAGGATTTAGGAGGACTTATCTGCAAGACTTTTGGCGGCGCAGAGGGTGAATTTTTATCGATTTTTCGTGTCAAAACTGCAGATAAGTCCGTATTTATTGTACGGATTTTAGGGTAATCTAACAAATGAATATGATATTCGCGTTTGGCAGGTCTAATATTCTTGCTATGTGAACTCTCGCCGAAATTTGGAGGTTTGACACTTTAATCATTGACGGTTGCTCCCAACAGCCCTGCGTACAGCGACTGTTTGATTTTGTGAAGGCGCCAAATCTCGACATGTCTCTAAATTTTATTTCTTCTCACTGAGCCGAATGAGCCAAACTTCTAGCATTCGTACAGATTCGGATTATGCGCATGGTCTAGACTGCTAACGGCTTCATTTTGGCTCATAACCCCAAAATTCTCAAAATTTGCTAGTTTCAAAAAATGCCTAAAATTTTATTTCGTGTTCGAGCTTTGAACACTTTGTGCGCAATTGTAGCACACATTACGTAATACATATCGCCAAATTGAGTCTCCGCTTCTGAAAAGAGTGAATTGCAAAACTTAGTCTTCAACCTAATACTTAATCAAAATTTTACATCACCAAAGCAACTCACTTATATGTGAAATTTTTCAACACTCTGATATGGGGATTACCTAAACCATTGAAAGTTAGAGGTTGTTAGCGCCCAAAATGTCTTAGGGAAGATCCAGCACATGGAAGCTGTGGTCTCGCTGGTCGAGCTACGGCAGACACTCCATGTGACTGATCAGTTTTTGCAATGAAAAATTTTGTTTCTCCCCACAATTTCCATGAAAAATGGTGAAAACCCCGATCTCGACAGAATTTACGCCACAGAAAATATAGGGAAGATCCAGCACATGGAAGCTGTGGTCTCGCTGGTCGAGCTACGGCAGACTTTCTATGTGGCTGATCAGTTTTTGCAGTATAAATTTTGTTTCTCCCCACAATTTCCATGAAAAACGGTGAAAACCCCGATCTCGACAGAATTTACGCCACAGTAAATGTCGACGCTGCTATCAAATTTTTGCAAAATCATGCACTTGTGATTACCATATTCTTTGGGTTCTTACGAATTTTAGCGCTATGCTTCCCTAGTTCTGCTTTCTGATCTGCAGTGACCATCTTTGCTGTTTACACAGTCTTTGTGGAAAACATATGAATTATGCTTGTCGCTATGAGACGCTAACAACAGTATGCGCAGTCTACGGATAGCGTACGCAGAATTTTTTTTGCCCATGAGAGATGAGAATAGAGAAATTTACCCAAATGAAGAAATTATGACATTAATCAACCATCTCAAAAAATTTGGAAACAGGTTCCGGCACAGATCGTATGTAAACGGGCTGGACTTCGTTTTTGGGGCGAAAAAGCAAGGGGGGTTTCGTTTTCGTGGCCAAAAAACGCAAATATTGCGACGTTTTTTTGACGTTCCGTCTTTTAGGGTTTTTTTTACTGATATGGTTTGAGGTCAAAGGGGACTTCGTAAGGTCTGGCGAAAGTCAAGGGGGACTTCGTTTCCAAAAAGCTTAAAAACAGACTTATGCCGGGGTCTGATTGGAAACACCCCAAGACCAGAAGAAAAGATTGAAAAATAACTAAAAGTAATTTTTGAACAACAATAATTTTACGGGAAAATTTTTTAGTGAACAAATGACAATAAGTCGTTGCATATTTTATAGCCATACAGGTACCCTTTTCAAATATTACTATTTTTTCCCACCAGAATCTGCCGCTGCCATAGATCTCTTCCCTAATTTTCCCACTATTTGATCCGTGAGTTCTTGAGTAAATCTCAAGCGAATCAAAGCTCAGTTTTACTTTCTGATTGCGCACCAAACACACTGCAGACTGCAGCAAGAGCAGTCTTTCGAAAGCGACGTGAATATCTGTAGAAAGATAGAGCAGAAATACGCTTTTTGAAATTTGTTCGCAGTCAAATAACAATCGAACGGTGTTGAACATTGATACTTATTATCGAAGGACATCTGCACAAGTCACGCATTCCGAGCCATAGTAGTTTGATGGACAGATTGTTGATTGCCATCAAGTACGCCGTTGTTTTCTCATATTTGCTTTATGATGTTCACAATTTTGAACCAACAACATTTCAATGTTTTTTGGACCGCAAAGGTCTCGAGGGCAAGTAATCTCGGTAGTATTCCATCAAGTGAAATACATAATTGAATTCAGACTGGCCTGACAATTTTTCAACATCAGTATATCGTGTAAGGACATTAAGATTGGCACAAATGTGCGGGCACATATGCAATTTACACTTCGTTGTTTGCACAAAGTGCAGAGTGAAGACTAACAATCTTATGTTGTTCTAG